GGCTTGAGGTGCACATCCTCTTTCTGGCCTGATGGCAGCAGCCATGGGCTCTTCCATCAAATGTACTTTAGCTTTTTTTCCTGACTTTGGATGCTTCCAGGTCACAGAGAAAAAGGGCTAGGAGTTTTCCAGAGCTTGCTCACTGCAGTTGAATGCAAAGAGCACTGGCTGTGCATGGAGTAGTGAGCTGAATGACTGAAACAACAGTTCAGCTTTCACAGCAGCAAGGGTGGGAGTGCTGGCCTGGTGCCTGGGTGAGAGATGCTGCTCTTTCCTGCCTTTGCTGTGTGGTGCTGCGCTCTGATGTCTGTGGCTCTGATCTTTTTCAGATGCTGGCTATGAATTCGACATCTGCTTCACCTCTGTGCAGAAACGGGCGATCCGCACCCTCTGGATCGTTCTGGATGCCATTGACCAGATGTGGCTGCCTGTGGTCCGGACCTGGCGCCTCAATGAGAGGCACTACGGAGGGCTCACTGGCCTAAACAAGGCTGAAACAGCTGCTAAGCATGGAGAGGCCCAGGTGAAGATCTGGAGGCGCTCATATGACATCCCCCCACCTCCCATGCAGCCGGATCACCCCTTCTACAGCACCATCAGCAAGGTAAGGCATGTTTTCCCAGGCTGCTGCCTCCTTTCCTTGGCCTAGGAGCCTTTGAGCTAAAAGCAGCCTGGAGGGTACTCGGAGCCCTGTGGCTGGTCCTCTTCTCAGAAAGGGAGCTGCCGGTGCTGGATCTGACTTCCTTTGTGGGGCATTCTTGGTACTGCCCTTTGTTCCTCTGCACCTCTACCTCTGTGGTGGTGTCTGTCACTGTAACGTGGTGATGGATGGCGTTGAGCTCAGTTCACCCTGTGCTGTCCCTGAGGAGATTGAACCCTTGGGCGTTGCACAGACTGATTCAAGGGGATTCGTGTTAATTATTAGTCCCATGACCAATGCTTGGATGTTTGCTGTGCATAGAGACTAGAGTGTGTGAAGTGCTGTCTTCCCTAGGCCTAGCTGAGTGCAGTCTCAAAGTTTACCTCAAAGACGTTTCCTAGCCTGCAGTGCCCCTGTCCTGTTTGCTCTCTGGTCACACCAACGGTGACCCTGATGGTGTGTAGCTGCAAGCCCAGCTTTGCTTTTACATAGGTCCTTGGGCAGAGTGCTGGTGAATAAGGGCCCTGCTATCACTTCCTCCAGCTGCTTTGCCAGCTGGTATTGCCTCTGAGCCCCTGACTGATAGATGCACAGCAGCGGCCAGGGATTTTGGGCTGCTGTGTGACAGTGGCTCTTCCGGCAGGACCGTCGCTATGCTGACCTGACAGAGGACCAGTTGCCAACATGTGAGAGCCTGAAGGACACCATTGCCCGGGCCCTGCCCTTCTGGAATGAAGAAATAGTCCCACAGATCAAAGAGGGAAAGCGAGTCCTTATTGCTGCCCATGGCAACAGCTTGCGTGGGATTGTCAAGCACCTGGAAGGTATGTCAGCCCTGCGTGGCTTCCCACTGCTCCGGCCCTGCCCCAGGACCGTGTGAGCAGGGAGCTCTCCCTTGCATGGCCTGTGGCTGTGCTTGGTTCCCTGAGAGTGACTGTGCCTCTGTTCATAGGCTTGTCGGAAGAGGCCATCATGGAGCTGAACCTGCCCACTGGGATCCCTATTGTCTATGAACTGGACAAGAACCTGAAACCCATCAAGCCCATGCAGTTCCTGGGGGATGAGGAGACAGTGCGCAAGGCCATGGAGGCTGTCGCTGCTCAGGGCAAGGCCAAGAAGTGAGGGCAGATGTGCAGGCTAGCGAGTAGTAGATGAGTCCCCCTCCCTCCCCCACCCATTTGTGCATACACCCCACAGCTGTAGGAACTTGGAGCTGCAGAGCTGGAGCAGGGAGCAGCTCCCCAGGACTAGGCCCGTTCCCTCTGGACCAGGCTCCCCTCTGCAGAGAGCCTGGGAGCCCATGGTCTTGAGCTGGTGCAAGGAAGTCTGGTGCAAAAGGGAGCCCTGACCTCTGCCAGGCAATAACTGCACACGTCTCTGCATCATGAGATCTCAGCCCTCAGGCCTTTATCTGCAGGGGGTGCTCCAAGCATTCCCTCCTCCTGCCTGGCTCCTTTTGTGCTTCGCTTCCCTGGCAGCACTTGTCACTTGATTACTGTAGTTCTGTTGCTTGAAATAGTCATTCCAGGAGCACAACAGCAACAGTGGTGTGAGTGCAGCACAACCAGTGACCAAGATGGGTGTCCTCTCTCATCACAGGTGTGCCAGCACAGGGAGCAGGATGTTTATATGCTGAAAGGGTTGTATTTTGATGCATGACCCACTGTGCTCCTGTGGGTGGTACAGCACCCAATGGTGGTACTTGTGACTTTGGACCTAGCCCTACCAGCCAATGCTTTAACTTATTGCCTTTGGATGAGGGGGGAGGGTGGAAGCATGTTGTCTGGACGTTTGTACCTGCCATGTACTTCCCCACAGCCAGAGCCAATCCTAGTCCTGCTGCCTCATGTTGGTGAAGCAGATGCCATTGTGCCCCATCCCACATGTGTGTACTTGGCGCTGTCACTGTGGCCTCCACCCTCTGCTGGCATAGTGAGCCTGGGTTTGCACTGGGTCAGTGTAACTGTCCAACAATAGCAGCTGTCTTGTTCCAGTTCAATAAAGGAGTAATATGCAATAATGAGGTGTCAAGTGTTTTCCTGTTGCAGCTTGCTGCATGTTCCTGAGCCACATGGGGCTCCCTGCCTTGCCTGGCCCTTCCCTTAGCCTCCTGCCTTGGTTACAGCAGCAGCAGCTGCTGGTAGACTTGCAGGTGCAGTAATGTGCCCCTAGGATCTAGAGAGCAAAGCACAGCTCTGCCCTCACTGCTGCTCAGCAGGTGCTTGATGTTTTACTGGTTCAGGAGTGTGGTGCTCCCCTGGCCCTTGTCCCCAGAGCTGTGCAGGGTGCACATGGCCTGAGGAAGTGGGGGTGAGCAAGGAGTCAAGTGCAGCAGCAGCTGTGCCCAGTTCTGGTTATCACCTCCTTGTTCTGTGCAGGAGGGGGGAAGCTAGGATACTCTCTGCACTTGCTACTGCTGTGGAGAGGCCCAGGAGGAGCCAAACTCTGCAGCGGAGAACAACAGCCAGAGCACCCTGCTGATAGTCTTTATTGCAACAAAGCTGCTAGGCACTCCCCTGCACCACTAGTGGCCTGGAAACAGGCATTTAGCTCCCTTGTGCCTGCACTGCTGTGGGAGGTCATCCCCTCCAGCAACTCCACTGCTGCTCTACAGGAGCCAGCCCAGCTGGCTAGGGGCAGCTGGAGCAATTCCTCTGGACAGTAACTGAGCAGAGCAGAAAGCTCTTGGAAAATATTTATTATGCACAGCACAAATATAAAATCCATCCTGGGAGGGAGGGCCTGGCTGGCTCTTCCAACCTCTGGCAGGTGCAGAGCTGAATGCAGGAGGCTCAAATCCAGTGGTTCCTTGGGCCACAGCAGCCCCTGGAGGGTGGTGGCTAGCAAGGCTCACTGCAGGCTCCAAGGGGCGCAAGCCAGCTGCTGCCAGCCAGCGACAAGCCATGCCCCATTGGGCTGGCAGGGCTGCTAGGTCTGCAGGAACTCGGGCTGCACGCGGGCCACCTTGCGGAAGTCCTTGGTGTGCGTCCGTGGGCACTGCATCTCGCACCAGCTGATAGGCACCATCTGCACCCCTAGGAAGCGTGGCAAGTCAGTGGCTGGTTTCTCAGCACCGCCATCCCTGTGCTGTGGTGCCTTACCTCCCTCCACACAGTGTCTGGGCTAGGCCCCTCTGACTGCCCCAGGGAGCCAAGGGGGCTGTGTGGGTTCGTGCCCAGAGGGCATAGCTCTGGCCTCCCAGCTTTAAGGCAACAAAACCCCTTTCTGCTCCCACTGCGTGACCACCCACCCATCTCTGCTAATAGCCACAGACCTTCACTTGTATTCCTTGTTTCCAACGGTCCAAATCCCTCCTCCCAAGGCCCTTGGGGCCCATGAGTTTCAGCAGCACAGGGGAGGAGGGTGGCTCTGCTCTCTGAGCTGCATCAGCTGCTCCTCACATGGGGCGAGGCAGAACTGGCCGAGCCTGGGCCCTGCTGCCTGTTCCTACCTGCTTCGCTGCGAGCCACCACCACACCCAGCTCGTTCTCCGCCGTGCTCAGCAGGTAGTTGGACTGTGCATCCCCCAGGGAGATCTGGTTAGAAACGGGTTAAGGGAAAGGCCTCCCTGAGGGGACTCGAGCGCAAACCCTCTCCCCCATGCGGGCCCTCCCGGTGCGAGGGCAAAGGATACGACTTTGGCCAGGACTATGTCACCAGGGCGGAAACTCTTGTAAACTTCTACCTGCATGGGAGAGAGGAGACACAAACACACAGTGTGTGGGGGAGCCTGTCAGTGGGGGCATGGCAGGGCAGCCATGGCAGCTGCCCCACAGCTGGGGCAGGACAAGTGCCACCCTGCCAACAGAAAGGAGTACAGGAGGCTGAGCACATGCCAGGGTTGCTGTGGTAGCCCAGAAACTGGCAGTGCCTCACTGACCTTGTCTTTCTCTGTGGCTCGAATATCTTCTCTCCTAGAAGAGGAGACAGAGGGATCTGAGCACCGGAGTGAGCAAACAGGACTCCCCACCCCGCTGCAGGAGTTTCCCCAGCCTCTGTCAATGCCCACCAGGGCTTGCTGGGCATCTTGCCGGCACTCGAGGCAGAGCTCCTGCCAAAGGCTTCGCCTGGCTGGCAGGGACCAGAGCCCAGGCAAAGCAGTGCAGAAAACCCTTCTGCTCATGTTGAGGACAGGGCATTTGGGCACTAGGCCTTGCTGGGAATCCAGCCCTTTTTTTTTTGGTTCCCCGGAACGTGGACTTCAGGGGTGTGGAGCCGATGTACAGGATGTGCACCTTGGCAAAGCGGGAGTTAATGCTGCAAACCTGCCAAGAGGAAGAGCTGGGAATCAGTGCCAATCCAAGCGTGGTCTGACCCCAGCACGCCTTCCCCAGACATCCATGCACCAGGACAGGTATAAGGCAAGGGTCCTGCTGCCCATGGCTGTACATGAGAAGGTAGTGTCCCAGGCCCCCCCCAGCTCTGTGTACCCAAAGGAGCCGCAAAGGAGAAGGGATACCCAACAGCAAGCCAGCAGGAAAATGGCACTTGTGCTTCTGAAGAGTGCACCAGGCTCCACAAGCCGTGGGGCAACAAGGTTTGCCAGGTCTGCCACTGCAAGGCTGGCATCTCCCTCCTGCACCCAAAGGGCCCTCCTCCTCAGAGCACAGACCTGCACACACTCCAGTGCCCTACCTTGCATGTCACAACGGCCCCCACATCAGGCAGGAGCTGGGACTCGGCATCTCTCACCACAGACACAACAGGCAGCTGCACGGGAGCAGACGCGAGGGTTAGCTCAGGGCACGATGCACGGCTCACGCACATGGTCGTGCTGGACCATGCTCAGAGCACACACTGGCTGGACAGCCGGAGCCCAGCTGCCCAGGGCAGGCAG